TGTCTCCATCGCCACACTCTGCCATGTGCCACTTTCAGGTCTCCTCACACACTGCTGGTGTGTTCAATTTTTTGACATAGGGTGCTGGCAGATTACGGGCCTCCCATAGCTGCTGCCAGGCCCCTAATCTGCCATGGGCCCCTATACCGCCTCCTCATGCTGCTGCTGCCAGGTCCACAGTGTCTCATGGGTCCCTGTACGGCCTCCCATTGCTGCTGTCTCCATCGCCACACACTGCTCTGCCATGTGCATTTTTTTTCAGGTCTCCTACACACACTGCTGGTGTGGTGGCAGAGAAGGCAATTTTTGAGCGAGCAGACGTGGCAGCAGAGGAAGGGGTCGAGGCCAGCCTATTGCGCAGCCAGCCCCTAAGTGCTCCCGGTGTCATCCAGTACGTGAGGAAGAGCTAACAGGGGCGGTCAGGAACGGGGGGAGACATCCGCCTCTTCAGCAGCCAGGCACAAGAAGTAGTGGCGATGGGCCCCTGTGCCTCGGTAGCCGGTCTAGAGACAGGTCTGTCTCCTGCACCCACACGGGCCAGCCGAGGGGGCTAGTAGTGAGGCGGAGACCCTAATCTGCCATGATGAGATGAGGCTCCTCGCACTTGGCAGCCTTGTCGTCATCAGGCTATTGCTTCCGCATCATCAGGAGAAGAGGGTGGCAGCTTGGCAGCGAGCAAAACAGTCGGTGGGTTGTCTCCATCGCCACACACTCTGCCATGTGCCACTTTCAGGTCTCCTCACACACTGCTGGTGTGTTCCATTTTTTGTCATAGGGTGCTGGCAGATTACGGGCCTCCCATAGCTGCTGCCAGGCCCCTAATCTGCCATGGGCCCCTGTACCGCCTCCTCATGCTGCTGCCAGGTCCACAGTGTCTCATGCCATGTGCCACTTTCAGGTCTCCTCACACTGCTGGTGTGTTCCATTTTTTGTCATAGGGTGCTGGCAGATTACGGGCCTCCCATAGCTGCTGCCAGGCCCCTAATCTGCCATGGGCCCCTATACCGCCTCCTCATGCTGCTGCCAGGTCCAGAGTGTCTCATGGGTCCCTGTACGGCCTCCCATTGCTGCTGTCTGTCTCCATCGCCACACTCTGCCATGTGCCACTTTCAGGTCTCCTCACACACACTGCTGGTGTGTTCAATTTTTTGACATAGGGTGCTGGCAGATTACGGGCCTCCCATAGCTGCTGCCAGGCCCCTAATCTGCCATGGGCCCCTGTATACCGCCTCCTCATCTGCTGCTGCCAGTCCCAGTGTCTCATGGGTCCCTGTACGGCTCCCCCATTGCTGCTGTCTCCATCGCCACACTCTGCCATGTGCCACTTTCAGGTCTCCTCTCACACTGCTGGTGTGTTCCATTTTTTTGACATAGGGGGTGCTGGCAGATTACGGGCCTCCCATAGCTGCTGCCAGGCCCCTAATCTGCCATGGGCCCCTGTACCGCCTCCTCATGCTGCTGCTGCCAGGTCCAGAGTTTCTCATGGGTCCCTGTACGGCCTCCCATTGCTGCTGTCTCCATCGCCACACTCTGCCATGTGCCACTTTCAGGTCTCCTCACACACTGCTGGTGTGTTCAATTTTTTGACATAGGGTGCTGGCAGATTACGGGCCTCCCATAGCTGCTGCTGCCAGGCCCCTAATCTGCCATGGGCCCCTGTACCGCCTCCTCATCTGCTGCCAGGTCCAGTTCCAGTGTCTCATGGGTCAGGTCCAGAGTCTCTCATGTACGGCCTCCCATTGCTGCTGTCTCCATCGCCACACTCTGCCATGTGCCACTTTCAGGTCTCCTCACACACTGCTGGTGTGTTCCATTTTTTGTCATAGGGTGCTGGCAGATTACGGGCCTCCCATAGCTGCTGCCAGGCCCCTAATCTGCCATGGGCCCCTATACCGCCCTCCTCATGCTGCTGCCAGGTCCAGAGTCTCTCATGGGTCCCTGTACGGCCTCCCATTGCTGCTGTCCTCCATCGCCACACTCTGCCATGTGCCACTTTCAGGTCTCCTCACACACTGCTGTGTGTGTTCCATTTTTTGACATAGGGTGCTGGCAGATTACGGGCCTCCCATAGCTGCTGCAGGCCCTGCCCCTAATCTGCCATGGCCCCCCCTATACCGCCTCCTCATGCTGCTGCCAGGTCCAGAGTGTCTCATGGGTCCCTGTACGGCCTCCCATTGCTGCTGTCTCCATCGCCACACTCTGCCATGTGCCACTTTCAGGTCTCCTCACACACTGCTGGTGTGTTCCATTTTTTGTCATAGGGTGCTGGCAGATTACGGGCCTCCCATAGCTGCTGCCAGGCCCCTAATCTGCCATGGGCCCCTATACCGCCTCCTCTGCTGCTGCTGCCAGGTCCAGAGTCTCTCATGGGTCCCTGTACGGCCTCCCATTGCTGCTGTCTCCATCGCCACCACATGCCATGTGCCACTTTCAGGTCTCCTCACACTGCTGTGTGTGTTCCATTTTTTGTCATAGGGTGCTGGCAGATTACGGGCCTCCCATAGCTGCTGCCAGGCCCCTAATCTGCCATGGGCCCCTATACCGCCTCCTCATGCTGCTGCCAGGTCCAGAGTCTCTCATGGGTCCCTGTACGGCCTCCCATTGCTGCTGTCTCCATCGCCACACTCTGCCATGTGCCACTTTCAGGTCTCCTCTCACACTGCTGTGTGTTCCATTTTTTTTTTGCTGGCATAGGGTCCCCCTGGCAGATTACGGCCCCTCTGCCATGGGCTGCTGCTGCCAGGCCCCTAATCTGCCATGGGCCCCTGTACGGCCCGCCTCATTGCTGCTGCCAGGTCGCCACAGTGTCATGCCATGTGCCACTTTCAGGTCTCCTCACACACTGCTGGTGTGTTCAATTTTTTGTCATAGGGTGCTGGCAGATTACGGGCCTCCCATAGCTGCTGCCAGGCCCCTAATCTGCCATGGGGGCCCCGCCTCCTCATGCTGCTGCCCAGGTCCAGAGCTCTCATGCCAGGCCTCCCAGCTGTCTCATGCCCATGCCATGTGCCACTTTCAGGTCTCCTCACACTGCTGGTGTGTTCCATTTTTTGTCATAGGGTGCTGGCAGATTACGGGCCTCCCATAGCTGCTGCCAGGCCCCTAATCTGCCATGGGCCCCTATACCGCCTCCTCATGCTGCTGCCAGTCCAGAGTCTCTCATGGGTCCCTGTACGGCTCCCATTGCTGCTGTCTCCATGTCTCCACACACTCTGCCATGTGCCACTTTCAGGTCTCCTCACACTGCTGGTGTGTTCCATTTTTTGTCATAGGGTGCTGGCAGATTACGGGCCTCCCATAGCTGCTGCCAGGCCCCTAATCTGCCATGGGCCCCTATACCGCCTCCTCATGCTGCTGCCAGGTCCAGAGTCTCTCATGGGTCCCTGTACGGCCTCCCATTGCTGCTGTCTCCATCGCCACACTCTGCCATGTGCCACTTTTCAGGTCTCCTCACACTGCTGGTGTGTTCCATTTTTTGTCATAGGGTGCTGGCAGATTACGGGCCTCCCATAGCTGCTGCCAGGCCCCTAATCTGCCATGGGCCCCTGTACCGCCTCCTCATGCTGCTGCCAGGTCCACAGTGTCTCATGCCATGTGCCACTTTCAGGTCTGCCCTGCCACTTTCAGGTCTGCTCACACTGCTGTGTGTTCCATTTTTTGTCATAGGGTGCTGGCAGATTACGGGCCTCCCATAGCTGCTGCCAGGCCCCTAATCTGCCATGGGCCCCTATACCGCCTCCTCATGCTGCTGCCAGGTCCAGAGTCTCTCATGGGTCCCTGTACGGCCTCCCATTGCTGCTGTCTCCATCGCCACACTCTGCCATGTGCCACTTTCAGGTCTCCTCACACACTGCTGGTGTTCCATTTTTTGTCATAGGGTGCTGGCAGATTACGGGCCTCCCATAGCTGCTGCCAGGCCCCTAATCTGCATGGGCCCCTATACCGCCCTCCTCATGCTGCTGCCAGGTCCAGAGTCTCTCATGGGTCCCTGTACGGCCTCCCATTGCTGCTGTCTCCATCGCCACACTCTGCCATGTGCCACTTTCAGGTCTCCTCACACACTGCTGGTGTGTTCCATTTTTTGTCATAGGGTGCTGGCAGATTACGGGCCTCCCATAGCTGCTGCCAGGCCCCTAATCTGCCATGGGCCCCTGTACCGCCTCCTCATGCTGCTGCCTGTCCAGGTCTCATGGGTCCCTGTACGGCCTCCCATTGCTGTCTCCATCGCCACACTCTGCCATGTGCCACTTTCAGGTCTCCTCACACTGCTGGTGTGTGTTCCATTTTTTGTCATAGGGTGCTGGCAGAGATTACGGGCCTCCCATAGCTGCTGCCAGGCCCCTAATCTGCCATGGGCCCCTGTACCGCCTCCTCATGCTGCTGCCAGGTCCCATGTCTCTCATGGGTCCCTGTACGGCCTCCCATTGCAGCTGTCTCCATCGCCACACTCTGCCATGTGCCACTTTCAGGTCTCCTCACACTGCTGGTGTGTTCCATTTTTTGTCATAGGGTGCTGGCAGATTACGGGCCTCCCATAGCTGCTGCCAGGCCCCTAATCTGCCATGGGCCCCTGTACCGCCTCCTCATGCTGCTGCCAGGTCCAGAGTCTCTCATGGGTCCCTGTACGGCCTCCCATTGCTGCTGTCTCCATCGCCACACTCTGCCATGTGCCACTTTCAGGTCTCCTCACACACTGCTGGTGTGTTCCATTTTTTGTCATAGGGTGCTGGCAGATTACGGGCCTCCCATAGCTGCTGCCAGGCCCCTAATCTGCCATGGGCCCCTGTACCGCCTCCTCATGCTGCTGCCAGGTCCAGAGTCTCTCATGGGTCCCTGTACGGCCTCCCATTGCTGCTGTCTCCATCGCCACACTCTGCCATGTGCCCACTTTCAGGTCTCCTCACACACTGCTGCTGGTGTGTTCCATTTTTTGTCATAGGGTGCTGGCAGATTACGGGCCTCCCATAGCTGCTGCTGCCAGGCCCCCCTAATCTGTCTGCATGGGCCCCTGTACCGCCTCCTCATGCTGCTGCCAGGTCCACAGTGTCTCATGCCATGTGCCACTTTCAGGTCTCCTCACATTGCTGCTGTGTGTTCCATTTTTTGCCATAGGGTGCTGGCAGATTACGGGCCTCCCATGCTGCTGCCAGGCCCCTAATCTGCCATGGGCCCCCTGTACCGCCTCCTCCCATGCTGCTGCCAGTCCACTCTCATGTGTCCCTGTACGGCCTCATGCCATGGGCCACACTCTGCCATGTGCCTCCTCACACTGCTGGTGTGTTCCATTTTTTGTCATAGGGTGCTGGCAGATTACGGGCCTCCCATAGCTGCTGCCAGGCCCCTAATCTGCCATGGGCCCCTGTACCCGCCTCCATGCTGCTGCCAGGTCCCAGTCACATGGGTCCCTGTACGCCCTCCCATTGCCATGTGCCACTCTGCCTTTCACTTTCAGGTCTCCTCACACTGCTGGTGTGTTCCATTTTTTGTCATAGGGTGCTGGCAGATTACGGGCCTCCCATAGCTGCTGCCAGGCCCCTAATCTGCCATGGGCCCCTGTACCGCCTCCTCATGCTGCTGCCAGGTCCAGAGTGTCTCATGGGTCCCTGTACGGCCTCCATTGCTGCTGTCTCCATCGCCACACTCTGCCATGTGCCACTTTCAGGTCTCCTCACACTGCTGGTGTGTTCCATTTTTTGTCATAGGGTGCTGGCAGATTACGGGCCTCCCATAGCTGCTGCCAGGCCCCTAATCTGCCATGGGCCCCTGTATACCGCCTCCTCATGCTGCTGCCAGGTCCAGAGTCTCTCATGGGTCCCTGTACGGCCTCCCATTGCTGCTGTCTCCATCGCCACACTCTGCCATGTGCCACTTTCAGGTCTCCTCACACTGCTGGTGTGTTCCATTTTTTGTCATAGGGTGCTGGCAGATTACGGGCCTCCCATAGCTGCTGCCAGGCCCCTAATCTGCCATGGGCCCCTGTACCGCCTCCTCATGCTGCTGCCAGGTCCACAGTGTCTCATGCCATGTCTCCATGCCACACTCTGCCATGTGCCTTTCACTTTCAGGTCTCCTCACACTGCTGGTGTGTTCCATTTTTTGTCATAGGGTGCTGGCAGATTACGGGCCTCCCATTGCTGCTGCCAGGCCCTAATCTGCCATGGGCCCCTGTACCGCCTCCTCATGCTGCTGCCAGGTCCAGAGTGTCTCATGGGTCCCTGTACGGCCTCCCATTGCTGCTGCCAGGAGGCAGCAGGGGTCGCAGCAGTGTCAGTGGAGGCAAACGGCCACGAAGTAGAGCACCAGCTCCACTGCAGCCTACCACCACGGCCAGTGTGGTGTGTGTGCACGGAGGAAGTAGCAGTCAGCCAGTGAGGAGTAGCGGGGGCAAAGTTTCCTACTCGGCGGTGTGGCCATTTTTCGTCAAGCCGCCCGAGGAAGTAAAACGTGCCGTATGCCGACTATGTGGCCAGAAAGTCAAGCGTGGCCAGGGGGGCCCATGTTGGGACTACAGCGTTGCGTCAGCATATGCAGCGTCCATTCGCTGGCCATTTGCGGTGGCCTGGGCCCGTGATAAAGATACGGCGGTTCTGCCTGCCCCAGCCCAGGGTTCCATTTTTTGTCATAGGGTGCTGGCAGATTACGGGCCTCCCATTGCTGCTGCCAGGCCCTTAATCTGCCATGGGCCCCTGTACCGCCTCCTCATGCTGCTGCCAGGTCCACAGTGTCTCATGGGTCCCTGTACCGCCTCCCATTGCTGCTGTCTCCATCGCCACACTCTGCCATGTGCCACTTTCAGGTCTCCTCACACTGCTGGTGTGTTCCATTTTTTGTCATAGGGTGCTGGCAGATTACGGGCCTCCCATTGCTGCTGCCAGGCCCGTAATCTGCCATGGGCCCCAGTACCGCCTCCTCATGCTGCTGCCAGGTCCACAGTCTCTCATGGGTCCCTGTACGGCCTCCCATTGCTGCTGTCTCCATCGCCACACTCTGCCATGTGCCACTTTCAGGTCTCCTCACACTGCTGGTGTGTTCCATTTTTTGTCATAGGGTGCTGGCAGATTACGGGCCTCCCATTGCTGCTGCCAGGCCCCTAATCTGCCATGGGCCCCTGTACCCTCCCTCCTCATGCTGCTGCCAGGTCCACAGTCTCTCATGGGTCCCTGTACGGCCTCCCATTGCTGCTGTCTCCATCGCCACACTCTGCCATGTGCCACTTTCAGGTCTCCTCACACTGCTGGTGGGTTCCATTTTTTGTCATAGGGTGCTGGCAGATTACGGGCCTCCCATAGCTGCTGCCAGGCCCCTAATCTGCCATGGGCCCCTGTACCGCCTCCTCATGCTGCTGCCAGGTCCAGAGTCTCTCATGGGTCCCTGTACGGCCTCCCATTGCTGCTGTCTCCATCGCCACACTCTGCCATGTGCCACTTTCAGGTCTCCTCACACACTGCTGGTGTGTTCCATTTTTTGTCATAGGGTGCTGGCAGATTACGGGCCTCCCATTGCTGCTGCCAGGCCCGTAATCTGCCATGGGCCCCCGTACCGCTCCTCATGCTGCTGCCAGGCCCGTAATCTGTCATGGGCCCCTGTTGTCGCTTGTTGGCATATTCCGCTCGTTCAGATGCTCCTTCTCCTGCTACTCCTCTTCACGGATTCCGTCAGCAGTCTTTCTTGGAATCCGTTTCCAAGAGACAACAGTTTGCGAGCACGCACCCGACGGTGCAGAAGCTGAACGTCCTCCTGTCCAAGTTGCTGCTGCCAGGCTCGTAATCTGTCATGCGCCCCTGTACCGCCTCCTCATGCTGCTGCCAGGTCCAGAGTGTGTCATGGGCCCCCGTACCGACTCCTCATGCTGCTGCCAGGCCCGTAATCTGTCATGGGCCCCTGTACCGCCTCCTCATGCTGCTGCCAGGTCCAGAGTGTGTCATGGGTCCCTGTACGGCCTCCCATTGCTGCTGCCAGGCCCGTAATCTGCCATGGGCCCCCGTACCAACTCCTCATGCTGCTGCCAGGCCCGTAATCTGTCATGGGCCCCTGTACCGCCTCCTCATGCTGCTGCCAGGTCCAGAGTGTGTCATGGGTCCCTGTACGGCCTCCCATTGCTGCTGTCTCCATCGCCACACTCTGCCATGTGCCACTTTCAGGTCTCCTCACACTGCTGGTGGTTTCCATTTTTGTCATAGGGTGCTGTATGGCCTCCCATTGCTGCTGCCTCCACCGCCCACTGTGGCTCCACACTCTGGTTTTGGCCCCGTGACTGCCCAAATGAGTGAAGTGTGCGGTGATTCTAAGATCGACGGCACTCATCTGCATGTCATACTGACTGTCAGTATTATTTCTCTTCCCCAGCAGACTCCAAGGGCATTTAAATTAAAGGTACAGTGTTCTGCACTAATATAAAGGCTCTCTGAAGCCTAGAAACACCCTTTTATAAGTTAAATTCGCAGCGAATATATTCGACTCGAATCAAAACTCTAGTTGTAACTTCAACCTCCACCAGTAGTGCACCACCGTTAGAGGGCCCCAATGCAAGCCAACAGAAGAAACCATTTGCATGCAGACTGGGACCTAGCATGGTCACCCCAGTGCAATAATGGACAGTATAGCTCTAGGAGTTTAGATTGATTCACTGTTTAAACTGCCTTTTTTGTACCTTTGATGATCTTGTTACTGTTTAAGCTGATAGTGAGGAAGCAAACCCTAACATCATCTCCTGTTGTTACATTTGTGTGATTTTGTATAAACCTACCTTATATAGTAAACATTATATTACTCTATATTGCTCACTGTCTTGCCTTATCTTCTATTAGTTGTTGATAATATATGGTCAAGGCCTATAAGTTTTTAACTTTATTATATAAGGTCTTACTCTGAAACTGTATTTGTCCACCTTCTTGAGATAGGGTTGGTGTCAAACCTTAAAGTGATATTAAAAGCTAGTTTAAAAAACAAACAAACAAAACAAACAAACAAACATGTCATACTTATCTGCTCTGTGCATAGCTCCGATCCTCCTTTTCTCAGGCCCCCACCAGCACTCCTGGCCCTTCCCTCCTGCTGCTTGCTCTGGGGGCACTAATGCATGCTCACTCCCGAGTCCCGCTCTATATGTCTATAAAACACACAGAGTGTGGCTCAGACCCCCATTTGCTTCTCTTTGGCTGTGATTTGACAGCAGTGGCAGCCAATGGCTGAGAGAGACCTTGGAGAGCTACTGCTTTTGTGCACATAGCTGGATCAGGATTAGGCTCAGGTAAGTATTGTAGGGGGGCTGGGGTGGAGAAGCACATACAAGATTCTGTTATCTTCATGCATAGAAATGCATCAAGGTAAAAAACCTTCAGCCTTTACGACCACTTTTAAACTGTGTGAATTTCACTGGGTGTGTTAGAGTGGTAGAGATTTTATCAGTCAAGACCAGTATCAGAGGACCCATTGGCTCCTGAGAGGGTGTGCTACAGTTGTCATAGATCTTGTAAGAACAGTAACGAGCATCAACAGACTGTTGAGGTCATCCCTATGCTCTCCCCTCCTGCAAGCATGTTCACAGTCACACACTCAACCATAGCATAGAACATTTGGGAACAGAAAGGTGAAAGAATCATCAGAATGCTTTTGCTTCTTGTGAACTGGGGATTTCTATGACGTTGTAAACAAAGACCTTGGCCCTCTATTCCTGGTGTTTTCAAATAATAAAGGCCACCTATTGAGGGAAGGCAGGGGTACCTCTCCCTCTGGTCCCTCCGTCCCATCCCCCCCTCCTCTCTGGTTGTTCCTGTTCCCCTTTCTCCTCCCTGTGGTCCTTTCCTGATGTGGGGGTGAAAAAGATATGGAAGGTTCAGACAGCACTCTGTAGCGTTAACAGAGACAAGACTGACTTAAGTTGGCCATAGATAGTTTCAGATGAACAGATTTCTTAATACATCACACAAACAGGGTGGATGGAGGAATTCCCACCAAAACATTGCATTCTGACAGTGGAACCCAGTGCTGTCAGAACACACAGATCAGAGGCTGATTGACAAACATTTCCAGCTTGCCCGTTCAACCACCGAAGTCAATTTATAGATCAATTTTTTGTGTACCGGGGACAGCCACACACAGATTGAAATTCGGACAGTACCCAGCTGAACCAAAACTAATTTTGATTGGTCTATGGCAGTCAGCTTTGGCCTATTGCTGCTTCCTCTCGGTGTGAGTGAGGATGTACTAGAAGCTCCCTACATACAGAGACAGATTCATGTATTTTTAATGGGTTTACTTAAACATTTTTAATGAATAAATAGGCCAAATCAAAAGTGTTTTTATTTGTGCTGGGAGTTTTAAGTTTCTACTTGATCACAAACTGAGCATTTTCATGATAAAGTCCATGTTTAGAAAATTGCATTTATTAAATGTAGGTATTTCTTTATGTTTTCTGTTATTAGTCATCTATCACCCAGAAAAAAAAAAACATAAAAAGCAGCTATCACTTTAGAATTGGATATAAGCTTTGATCCCTCTGAGATTCACAGGGCTCGAGTTCTAGTGAATTCTCATAACTTTTTAATCACAAGACAAAATATAATAATCACAATATATGCAAGCAATTATACACCGAGCTCTTAGTTTATTGAAAATGTCAATATAGTGAGGCAGTTAAATTGGGTCACTTAAAATGTTATCCCAGTGAGCCTGTCAGTCTAATTGGCTGAAAACATTGCACACTACCCAATGCGTAAATCTTCAATTATTTTCATTTTTATTAAATTATCTTTGCTTGTCGGGATTTTAGAGACTTGACACATTACAGTAGCCGAGTCAGTAAATCTGCCCTCAACTTTTAATATTCCCCGATATATACATCGATTCTTATTAAGAGACTTTTAATTAAGAGAGTTGTCACCTTTTAAACACAACAGCACATCACACTTAGGTCTGTAGAACACGCACTACAGCAAAACTTTCAAGGAAATGCTACTGGCCATATAAATAGACTTGCCCCTTTGGGAACTCCAGACGGATTGGATGTCTCTGGCTCTCAATAATAGACCTATAGCTAGTAAACTCAGTATAGTACAGAGCCTTTCATCAGTATA